GGCTGAGGCAGGAAGATGGCTTGAGCCCAAAAGTTTGAGGTTACTCTGAGTTATGATGCCATGGCTTTCTACCCAGGGCAACATAGACTTAGTTTAAAACAAACAACAAAAAACCCCACAATAATTTGTTGTATATTTCAAAACAGAATAATTATAATGTTCACAACACAAAAACTAAATGCCTGAGGTGATGGATATCCTATCATTAGAGGCGTTGAGCCACTGTACCTGGTCAAAATATAACTTGATATTTAGTTCAACTTTATAACTTTAACTGACAAATTTAGTCCATTCACAATTGTAATTACTTTTTATTATATTATAAAATTTGTTTCTTTTTTTTTTTTTTTTTTTAGAGATAGAGTCTCACTTTATCACCCTCAGTAGAGTGCTGTGCCGTCACAGCTCACAGCAACCTCCAACTCTTGGGCTTAGGCGATTCTTTTGCCTCAGCCTCCTGAGTAGCTGGCACTACGGGCACCTGCCACAACACCTCACTATTTTTTCTTGCAGTTTAGCTGGGGTCGGGTTTGAACCCACCACCCTCTGTATATGGGGCTGGTGCCCTACTCACTGAGCCACCCAATATTATGAAATTTCTTATTCTGTGCTTCTTATTCTGTATTTTACATGCTTTTCCCTCCTTTCATGTCTTTTTGAACTTTTTTTACTTCATGCTCACTTCCATTACTTTGGAATTTGTATTCATTATTTAGTCTTCCATCCTGAACATTTAGTTTAAAAGGAACACCTTTCTTATCTACTGTCAAAACTGGAAGAAACTACAGAACATTTCAACTTCTATCACCTCTCCCATTGACATTTAAACAAACTTTTTATTTTGAAATATTCACAGATTCTGGCCAATGTAAAGATAGCACAGACAGGTCCTATCTACCCTTCATCCAGTTTCTCCCAAAGGTTACATCTTAAATAACAATAGTTCAATATCAAAACCAGAACACTGGGCCAAGTGTGGTGGCTCACATATGTAATCCTAGCACTATGGGAGGCTATGCAACGTAGGTGGATCACTTGAGCTCAAGAGTTCAAGACCAGCCTGAGCAAGAGCAACACCCCATCTCTACTAAAAATAGAAAAACCATCTGGGTGCTGTGGTGGTGCCTGTAGTCCCAGCTATTCAAGAGGCTGAGGTAAGAGGATCACTTGAGCAGGAGTTTGAGGTTGCTGTGAGCTGTGACACCATGGCATGCCACTCAGGCGACAAAAGTGAGCCTGTCTCAAGAGAAAAGAAAAAAAAAACCCAACAACATTGTTTTAAAATATGGGATAGTCCACTATCATTTTACCTCATATATCGATTAATGGAACCACCACCATAATCAAGACACAGAACTATTCTATCACTACAAGGACCTTCTTCATGCTGTTCCTTTCTAGTTACACCCATTCCCTTCTGCTCCACCATGTCTAATCCCTGGCGACTACTAATCCATTTTCCACCAAGCCCAATGACAGAGTGCGACTCTGTCCAAAGAAAGAAAAAACTTAAGCATAAAGAATGCACCCCAACAAAAGCACTTGCTCCCTCTCACTCCTGTCCTCACCCACATTCCTTTCCCTTTCATGCTCTGTAGATAACCACTTTTATTAGATTCTTCAGTATCATTTTAGTGTTTCTTACTCATGCAAATTCCAGCCAAGCCAAATACATGGTTTCATCTCCTCTGCCTCTTCCAGTTTTTTACATATTTTCATCTGATAATATATCCTGAGTCCTTTCCAAACTAATACATAGTGCATCTTCATTTTTTCATAAGATTCTGTTTGTTTGATAATTTATTTAGCTGCTTCACTTTTGCTTCCTATTTGGGTTGTATCAAGTATTGTGCTGTCATAAATCACACTTCTCCACTGAGAATTTTAAGTGGCTATCTTTAATTTCTAAATTTTTTTAAAAATCTGCATTTTTTAACCTTCAAATTCTTTTCCACTTACTCTGTTTTTGATTATTTTAACTTTTTTTTAAAAGAGACAGAGTCTCACTTTGTCACTCTTGGTAGAGTGCCATGGTGTCACAGCTCACAGCAAC